GCAAAGGAGCGGCGTGACACCAGGTGGGTGGCACGGCACAGCACGGCACAGCACGGCACAGCTCGGCACCGGCAGTGGTCCCAACAACACCCACCGCCACGATCCTCTTCATGGCCTCCAGCTTGAGCGAATCCTTGTTGCTATCGAGCATCTCCTTGAGGTCATCGTGCCTGCACCGCACCCAGGGAGGAAAAAAAATCCCATTTTCAATTTTTAGTCATTTTTAACCATTTTTTGTCCTTTTTAATTGCTCCATCATGCTGGCAACTTGAACCTTCACCGTGCAATATTTATGGGGACAGGAGTTGGGTTACAGCCAGGTGAAAGAGAAGCCAGAGGGACCGGCGTGGTGCTGGCACCATCCTGAGTGCTGAGATGAGAATCCTGTCCTATCCTGGCTGTGGTTGTCACCCTAGGATGTCCCCAAATCGCTTCCCAGGCAGCAGGGTCCCATCACCGGCTCCATCCCGGCCACCAGCCCAGCTTGACTGAGCGTCCCTTGTCCCCTCATGGGCATGGTGGCATGGATGTGCCAGTGCACCCCGAAGCAAAGCCCTTTCCCAGTCCCCTCCCTTGGCTGGGAAAATGCCACCAGCCCTTTATAAGGCTGGTTATCACCTCCGTCCACTTTCTAAGGGACACTTGTCCCTACCAAACCGGGGGGACCTGCAAGGCTGCACCCACCCACAGCAGCTGGGGGTGGCACCCGTGGGACAATGCTCGGCCAGAGCCACCGTGGCCAGAGGGTCCCGGGGGACTCCTTCAGGGGGGGGTCTTACCGTGGCGAAGGCCCAGTGCCGGTGGCCACTGTGGACTCGGTGCCAGCGAGCGGCCGCAGCTCGTCTGCTCGCAGGGCGCTGTAGCAAGCGGGTTGTCCAGCCTCGGTGGCCAACACCGGGCTTGTCACCTCCTCGGCCGCGTCACCACCCGCCGGTGTTTTCGGCCGCCCGGCTGGCCCCGCCGGTAGCTGCCGCAGCAGCTTCTGCACCGGTGGCAGGGACAGCATGGCTTTGGCTGGGGGTGGTGGCCCTGGGGACGGTGACAGGGCTGTGGCCCTGCTCCTCCTCCCGGCACAGCCGGCTGAAACCTGATGCTGTTGTTGGCGTTGGGTTGCAGCCACAACTGCGACGCCCTTCCTGGTAGACAAGGCCACCCCCGGGGTGTCACATCCCAAGTGACACCCGTCCTGCAGCTGGGGCCTGGGGACACTGCAGGGAGCTCCTTTCCCGGGTGTTTTGAGTGGCTCAGTCCTGGCCAGGGACCCCACGTCATGATGGGACACCCCCCTGGGTGGTGGGGTGGCAGGGTAGGACACCTGTGGGTGTTCTACCTGGTAGCGGGGTGGTACTTGGGGGGGCATTTTGCTTACCCTATATGCCGTACACAGCTCATGGGACAGTGACAGATCTGGTGTGGCCTCAAGGGGACAGGCTCCAGGGCAGGGCAGCACGCAAGCGATGGGGACACTGGCAGGGGGTCAGGGCTGGGGGGGACACTGCCAGGCAGGGGGACACTGGTGGCATGTCAGTGCCGGAGGGATGCTTCCAGACTGGGGTACACTGCCAGTGGGGGTCAGGGTGAGGGGACACTGCCAGCTTGGGGACAGGAACACTGCCAGAGTGGGGGACATTGCCAGGGGCCAGAGGTAGGGGGACGTGGCCAAACTGGGGGATAGTGTCAGGGGCTCATGGAAGGCAGGGACAATGTGAGATGGGGACACTGCCAGTGGGTGAGGGATGGGAGACGTTGCCAGAGTGGGGGACACTGCCAAGGGGTCAGAGCTGGGGGGACACTGCCACAGTGGGGGACAACGCCAGGGACCCAGGGAAGGGGAGACACTGTGAAATAGGGACACTGCCAGTGAGTCATGGATGGGGGACACATCCAGAGTGTGGGACAGCGGCCGGGGGTCAGGACCAGGGGCCACTGTTACACTTGGGGACACTGCCAGGGGTTCAGGGAGGGGGGACACATCCAGACTAGGGCACACTGCCTGCAGGGTAGGGCTTGGGCTACATTGCTAGAGTGGGGGACACTGCCAGGAGGGCAGGGGTGGGGGACACTGCTAGAATGGAGGATGCTGTTAGCAAGTCGGGGGGGGACACACATCCAGATTGGGGGACACTGGCAGGGGGGCAAGGCAGGGGCGTCACTGTCAGAGTGGATGACACTACCAGAGGGTCAGGGATGAGGGACACTGCCAAATGAGGAGTTGGGGACACACATCCAGATTGGGGGACACTGCCAGTGGATCAGGGGTGGGGGGACACTGGCAGAGTGGGGGACACTGCCAACAAGCCAGGGAGGGGAGGATTCTTGCTGAGTGGGGGGACACTGCCAGGGGGTGATGGATGGGGGACACTGCCAGGCTGGGGGACACTGTCAGGGTTCCAGAGACGGGGGATACACACAGACTGGGGGACACTGCTGGGGGCTCAGGGTGGGGGGACACTGCCAGAGCGAGGGACACAGTGCCTCAGGGCTGGGGGGACACTGACAGATGTGGGGACACTGCCAGCGGTGAGGGGTGCCACTGCCAGACAGGAGGACACTGCTGCAGCATTAGGGAAGGGTGCAGAAATGGGGGACAGTGCCTGAAAGGGGGACACCGGCAGCGAGTCAGGGAGCGGAGACACTGCCAGACTGGGGACACTACCAGCAGGTTCGGGGTGTGTGTGTGGGGGGCACATCCAGAGTTGGGGGCACAGACAAGGCTGGAGGGACAACGGGATGCGACATGCCTGCAGATACCGGAACCACCCCCCCCCCTTCATCTGTGTCCCCGTCCCCACCCCCAGCAGCCTGCCCCACACGGGGGTGACATTTCTCAGCTCCCCCCCGCTGGGGACCTTGCTGGGGGGGTGCCATCACCCGGGGACACCGGCGAGAGCCACAGGAGCCAGCAGAGCCCGGGGCAGGGACACCGTGCCTGGGGCACCCCCAGCGCACGGTGGGGGGTGCAGCGGTGGTCCCTGCGCATCCCCCCCCCCCCGCCACACTGTCTCCAAAACCCCGCCGTGTTCCCCCGAGTCCCTCCCCGGTCGTTGTGACCCGCAGCGGCGGTACCATGACCGCGTCCCCCCGTCCCCCCGTCCCCGTCCCCGTCCCCTCCCCAGGGACCCTGCCGAGCCCCCAGTCAGGTCCCACGCCCCCGCCGGGACGGCGGCCCAGGCCCGCGGTGGCGGCCACCCCCGGCCGTTGTCCCCTGTCCCCCCCACCGTCCCCACCTCTTGTAGTCGGAGGAGAAGATGCCGCCGCTGGCGGGGTCGTGGCCGTACTCGGGCTCCCCCAGGCTGGAGGAGCCCCCCTTCTCCTCCCCGTAGGCCGGGCCGGCCGCCATGGCGGCGGGATGCGGTCGGGATGCGGCCGGTTGGGATGCCGGGACTGATGTCAGCGTCATGCGGGGACGGGGACCGCCCTAACGCTCCCCACGCTCCCCACCCTGCGGGGACGCTCGGCTGCGGGGGGCATCGCCCAGGCGGCCCGAGCCCTCCCGGGAGTTGGGGGGGGGCACCCTCAGGAGGGGTCCCCCGCCCTGCAGCACCCCCCGCCCCGCCCAGGTTTGGGTGCCAGCCCGTGGAAGAATGGGTGTAAGTCAGGATTTCGGTAGCAGCAGTGCCTGAGACGTGATTGCGTGGTCTGTGTCACATAGCTCGTATATCACACATCATACCGGCCGCTACAGGTATAGAGATTTACATGATATTACATTGTAATACATGATGCGATATCAAGGCTTTTTATATTACATTGTCTCATATTATGTGACATTACGCTATTATTTCATACCTTGCTTGGTATACGTTATAGAAGTTATATGCTACATGCTATATGGTCTGTACCATATATTAGGTTACGTAACACATGACATTGCATTATACAATATTACGGATGACATCATTTTCATGATATTATAGAACCCATATTCTAACATACCAGGCTATACCTACTCCTTAATCCATAATCAAGAATCCTATTCTGCATCCGATATCCTACGTTGTACGCTCTATGTTATGTTGCGTGTTAGACTACATTCTACTACATAACTACATTGCAGATAATATTAATTCCATTCTCTGTTCTTCATTCTATATTCAGTCATATTGTATTCTGTATTCTACATTAAATGTTATCTAGGATATAGTATATTAGCTGTGATGTATGATATATGACATATATGATATATCACGTATTGTGCTGTAGAAAATGATATGATTTCTTCATATTATAGATGTTGTTGAAATGAAGCATGATATTGATAGTGGCATTCATATTTTTATTAAAATCTTAATTGATAATTATTACGATATTCATCACCAGTAACCACTGATTTTGGCAGATATTTTAGATGCATTGATTTTGACTTGCGTCTTGCAAGGCCGAGCGGCTGGTTGCGACTCGGGCAGCGCTCACGCGGCATCACGCAAGAGGGAGTCAGAGAGGGAAATCGGGCTCATTTCATGGTCGTCTCCAGTTGGGATCTCGACCTGCAAGAGAAAGCTGTCCATGCGCGGGGGGCTTGGCTGTCCCCACCGCTGTCCCCCCCCCCACCAGGGGCCAGCCCCAGGGGAACGGGGTCAGGATGGAAACGCGGGGCTGGCTGTGGGTGCAGGCAGCCGTCCCACCGCGGCTGTCACCCCCCGCCCTGTGCTCACCAGTTGCTTGTAGAAATCCGCCAAGCCCAGGAGGTAGAGGGCAAAGTGGATGCAGTTGTTGGTGCTCCAGTGATATTTGGCTCTGCAGTTCATCACCTCCTTGACTCTACTATAGAAGTCATCGAGGTCGATCCTCTTTGTTGCCCGGTAAATCTCGCATTTCCCCTTCCTCTGCTTCATGGCTTGGAAGCCTTCCTTGCTGATCCAACCGCTGCTCTTCCAACCGGTCGTGCCTGGAAAACCCAGAGCCGCCCGTTGCCCCAGGCCAGGCACCGTGCCACCGGCCGCCTTTCGGCCACCGCCACGTCCCGAGCACGAGCAGGGGGTCGGGCACTTACTCCTGGAAGTGTATGACCTCTCCGTCCCCGCAGCAGACGGCTGCGTGTTTGAAGAGAACGCTGACGCCAGCGCTGCTGTCCAAGGGGAAGAGCACGATGTCCCCGGGCTGCATCGTGCTCTCCGACACCTCCCTGAAGATCACCCCATGCTTGGGGGTTCTCTTGGACAGCAGAAAGCGGAGCGTCTCACCCTGTCTCTGCTAACCGTGCCGGAGAGGGAAGGTAAGGAGGGGGCAGAACTTCCCCCATGCCCCCCAGTCATACCCACAGCCCCCCCGGCTGCACCGGAGGTCTCGCCAAGCCCCTACTTACGCAGCTCTTCGACATCTGCAAGGAGCAAGGAAGAGAACCGTGGTGTCAGCGCGGTGCTCGTGCCGTCCCGCCCGTGCGCAGAGGGCAGGGTCCCCCCCCGCCATCACACCCTGCCCGCGCTGGCTCCTGCCAGGCTCAAGGGCTTGGCTCGGGCAAAAGTCACCCGCCCTTCCCAGCTTCTCCGAGCGGGAGACGCCCTGGGACAGGCCCCGTTCCCCGATTTCCCCCCCGGCCCGGTGTGACGGCGGCGCGGGCAGCTGCCTGCAGAGGGGTGCGAAGGTGGGAGCGTCCTTACCAGGCTGGTTAGCAGTGATGTCCCCAGGGACGGAGCCGGGGACAGAGCCGGGCTGCAGGCACCTCCACCACGGGCCGTGGGAAATGGAGCTGGGATGGGTCCTGCCAGGGCCAGCCCTGACCCCACATCCTTCCTGACGAATGTGGGAGGAGCAGCGAGGCTGAAAATAAAACCGAAAAGCAGTACAGAGTCCAGGAAACCCCCGAATGTGTTTGTCCGCTTCATTAAGCCGGGGTTAATTTCCAAATTCCAGTGGAAGTGTTGCGGTCTGGGACCGGGGGGAGGTGTTGCGGGAGATCCTGGAAAAGCTCTGGAGTCGGAGGAGCTGCAGGACATCTCCAAAAGTGCGAGTCGTGCCGCGATGTGCATCTCCACGAGGAAGCCACCATCCCCACCAACCCGGCACCCTCACAGGGTTGCCACTCTCCCCGCTGGGCTGGCATCCTCGTAGGGATACAGCCATCCCTGCCAACCCAGGCTCCTCACCGGGGTGCCGCTGTGCCCACCGATCCAGCATCCTCGCGGGGACGCAGCCACCATCTCCACCAAGCCGGCATCTCCCCAGAGATGCCACCACCCTGGTGAGTCAGGCCGGGCTTCCTCTCCCCAGCTGGTGGCCGGCAGCGTGGTGATGGCATTCGAGGAGGTCTGCCCCGGAGCGCATCGACCTCATCCACAAGAACTACCGCAAGCTCTGCAACCTGCTCATCGATGTGGAGGAGTGGGGGCAGGTGGTCATCATCAACATGCTGACCCGCTACGCACGCACCCAGTTCCTCAGCCCCAACCAGAATGTGAGTGCGGGAGACTCGGGGTGCCCTGGAAGCCTCAGGGTGCCCTGGAAGCGAGCCCCCGGGGAGGTGGGGCGAAGGGGGGCTGCTGTTGGGGGGCTGCAAGGCGTCCCACCTGTCGGCAGGAGTCCTTGCTGGAGGAGAGCGCCGAGAAGGCTTTCTACGGCTCTGAGGAGGAGGATGCCAAGGACGCCAAGGCGGAGGCGGCCTCGTTGGCCAAGCGCAAGCCCTACGTCATGGACCCCGACCACCGCCTGCTCCTGCGCAACACCAAGCCCCTGCTGCAGAGCCGCAACGCCGCGGTGAGGCCCCTGCCCCAGCCCTGTCCAGCCCCGGAGGCCACCAGTGGTGCCCGTCAGACGGGGCTCGTGATGTCCCCGCTGGCCAAGGAGCCACCGGGGTGCTCGAGGGACTCCCAGGGCTTGGCGTCCCCAGGGATGGGCTTCCTCTAGGTGCTGCTGAGCGGGACTGCGATGGGGGACACAGCCATCTCCCAGGCAGTTCCCATGCTCGCCGGGAGGTGACTGGGTGTCTCTCCGCAGGTGGGAACGGATGTGGCGCAGCTCTACTTCCACCTGACAGCCCGGACTCCTAGGAGGGCCTGTGACCTTGCGGAGAGGAGCTCGTGCTGGCTGCAGCACTTGGTGAGGAACTGCAGCCCGTGGAAGGGACCCACGCTGGAAAAGTTGGTGGAGGACTGTCTCCCGTGGGTGGGACCCCACGCTGGAGCAGGACAAGAGCGTGAAGCAGGAAGGAGCGTGTCGTGGTTTGAGCTCAGAGGGCAACTGAGCACCACGCAGCCACTCACTCCTTCTTTCCATCCAGCCCTGAGAAGGAGAAAGTGAGCTACGCTTGGGATTTGAGACAGGACATGGAGGGGAAACTCACCCCTTATGGTCTTGGGCAAAATGCAGACCTCGTTAGGGGAAGAAAAAAGAGCAGAGATTTATTACAGAGGCAAACAACAACGCTTAACTGAGCAGGACAGTGAGAAGCATTGCCAGATGTTGAGAAGACCTTCCCCCCAGCCCTCCCTTCTTCCCGGGCTCAGCTCTGCTCCCGATATCTCTACCTCCTCCCCCAGGAGCGCAGGGGGCAAAGAATGGGGGGTGCAGTCAGTGGTGCCGCTACTTCCATCTTTGGTAGGGTGAGCTTCTGGAACTTCTTCCCCCTGCTGCAGCGTGGTCCCCCTCTCACAGGAGGCAATCCTCCACAAACTTTCTCCGACGGGATTCCCTCCCAGGGGCTGCAGCCCTTCCCGAGCTGCTCCCCGCATGCTGCAATCCTCCCAGATCCAAACTCCAATGGCAGGGGCCGCTTCTTCCGCCCAGGATCCCGGCCCCGCTCGGGCACAGACAACTTAACTGGGCATATGAGGCCCCTCACGGGCCATAAGTCACTCTCTGCTCCCTCACAGACTGTCCATGGGTGGCAGGGGGGGCCGCCCCGCCGTCGCACCACAGGGTACAGGGGGGTCTCTGCTCCGGCACACCTCCCCCCTCCTTTCTACCTCCGTTCCTCCCCTGCCCTTGGTGCTCACGCAGCTGCCACACAACTCCTCCTCCCAAGCCCCACTCCTCCTCACCAGGTGCCTTCCTACATCCGTTATCGCAGAGAGGCAGCTGCTTGGCTCGGCCTCGGTGCAGAGGTGGAGCTGACTTGGAGCTGGGGGAGCTTCCAGAAGCTTCTCACAGGGGCCCACCAGTGCAACCCCCTCCCCCTCTACCAAAAAAGCCCACCGCTCACTGAAACCCAGGACAGAGCGGCAGAGACAGTGTGTGATGAACTGACCTCGGTGGCTCTGGGGGAGGAGGTGGAGCAAGTCGGGAGTGAAGTTGAGGCCGGGAAGGAGGGAGGGCTTGGAGAAGGGGTTTGATGGTTTCTCCTTATTCCTCGTGATCCTAGTCGGATCTGTTTGGCAATAAATGAAATGAATTTCCCCGAGCCGAGTCTGTTTTGCCCGTGACAGTAATTGCTGGGGGACCTCCCTGTCCGTATCTGGGGAGCTGAGGAGGGGAATGGCAGAGCGGCTGGGTGGGTACCTGGCGTCAGGCCGAGGTCAACCCACCGCAACTCTCTCACGATGCGTGTTGTCAGATATATGACATACATCGGATTCATTATGTATTGCACTCTATTCTATTCTTTATCCTTCCTGCAGATCTTGCTGTTGTTCCTCTTCCTCTTCTTCGCAGGCAATCACTGATATTGGCAGATATTTCAGTGATTTCTTTTCCTTTGCGGCTTGCCAGCCCCGAGCGGCCGGTTGCCAGTCAGGCAGCTCCCTCACCCCTCCCGGCAGGAATGAGGCAGTGAGGAAAAACGGGCATATTTCTGCAAGAAATCTTTACTCAAGCAGCAAAGCAGTGCATGGCAATGGAGCCCGCGGAAGCGGAAAGGCCGCGGCTCTCCCCAGAAAAGGTCCTTCCCAGGGGCGAAGGCGTCGGGGCGCAGGGGGTGACCCTGAGGCTGCTCTGTGGGTCGCGGGGGGCTCGTCCTCAGGGGGGATGCAGCGGCCGCCACCCCTCAGACCACGAAGCTCCTCGCCTGCAGTGGTGGGGTGGGTGGGCTGCGGGTGGCCTGGAAAAGGGGGGGACAGTTCCCTGACGCAACTGCCCTGCCCTCCTCTCCCCGTGCTTCTGGGTCCCCCAGCAGCGCTGGCAGTCGGAGCGCAGCCCTCCTGGGCACCCCAAAGCCTGACGGGGACCCCGGCCCCCATTGGAGACCCTAGCCCTCTTTGGGGACCCTGCCAGGCTCCCGGGCACCCCAGCTTTGTTTGGGCGCTCCGGCTGTCCCAGAGACACCAGCCGTCTTGGGGACCCCACAAGCCTCTTGGGAACCGCATCCCTGCGGGGCAACCAGACCTCCTTGGGACCCCACAGCCCTCTGGGGGACTCCAGCCCCACGGGACCCGCAGCCCTCCTGGGGATTGTGCCCTCCCAGGACCCCACAGTCCTCCCAGTTGAGCCCATCCCTCTTTGGGGGCTCCAGGCCTACCGGGGGGGACTCAGCCCTCCCTCGGACCCCACAGCCCTGCCGGGGACGGCTGATGCTGGGGATACTCACGGCCCCACGGCCGTCTTCAGCTGGGATCTCGACCTGCAAGAGAAAGCTGTCCATGCGGGGGGGCTTGGCTGTCCCCACCGCTGTCCCCCCCCCCCCCCAGGGGCCAGCCCCAGGGGAACGGGGTCAGGATGGAAACGCGGGGCTGGCTGTGGGTGCAGGAGCCGTCCCACCGCGGCCGTCACCCCCCGCCCTGTGCTCACCAGTTGCTTGTAGAAATCCGCCAAGCCCAGGAGGTAGAGGGCAAAGTGGATGCAGTTGATCCGTCCCGAGTCATATTTGGCTTCGCAGTTCATCACCTCCTTGACTTTCCTTTTGAAGTCATCGAGGTCGATCTCGTTTGTTGCCCGGTAAATCTCGCATTTCCCCTTCCTCTGCTTCATGCCTTGGAAGCCTTCCTTGCTGATCCAACCTCTGTTCTTCCTGAGGCTGGTGCCTGGAAAACCCAGAGCCGCCCGTTGCCCCAGGCCAGGCACCGTGCCACCGGCCGCCTTTCGGCCACCGCCACGTCCCGAGCACGAGCAGGGGGTCGGGCACTTACTCTGGAAGTGTATGACCTCTCCGTCCCCGCAGCAGACGGCTGCGTGTTTGAAACCCATGTAGCTGCCAGCGCTGCTGTCCAAGGGGAAGAGCACGATGTCCCCGGGCTGCATCGTGCTCTCCGACACCTCCCTGAAGATCACCCCATGCTCGGGGCTGCTCTTGGACAGCAGAAAGTGGAGCGTCTCAAAGTGTGTGTCCTAACCGTGCCGGGGAGGGAAGGTGAGCATTCGGCAGAACCTGCACCATCCACCCCAGTGCCCCCCAGCTCCCCGCTGCTGCCGGCGGAGGTCTCGCCACGCTCCTACTTACACAGCTGCTCAACATCTGCAAGGAGCAAGGAAGAGAACCGTGGTGTCAGCGCGGTGCTCGTGCCGTCCCGCCCGTGCGCAGAGGGCAGGGTCCCCCCCCGCCATCACACCCTGCCCGCGCTGGCTCCTGCCAGGCTCAAGGGCTTGGCTCGGGCAAAAGTCACCCGCCCTTCCCAGCTTCTCCGAGCGGGAGACGCCCCGGGACAGGCCCCGTTCCCCGATTTCCCCCCCGGCCCGGTGTGACGGCGGCGTGGGCAGCTGCCTGCAGAGGGGTGCGAAGGTGGGAGCGTCCTTACCAGGCTGGTTAGCAGTGATGTCCCCGGGACGGAGCCGGGGACAGAGCCGGGCTGCAGGCACCTCCACCACGGGCCGTGGGAAATGGAGCTGGGATGGGTCCTGCCAGGGCCAGCCCTGACCCCACATCCTTCCTGACGAATGTGGGAGGAGCAGCGAGGCTGAAAATAAAACCGAAAAGCAGTACAGAGTCCAGGAAACCCTCGAATGTGTTTGTCCGCTTCATTAAGCCGGGGTTAATTTCCAAATTCCAGTGGAAGTGTTGCGGTCTGGGACCGGGGGGGAGGTGTTGCGGGAGATCCTGGAAAAGCTCTGGAGTCGGAGGAGCTGCAGGACATCTCCAAAAGTGCGAGTCGTGCCGCGATGTGCCACCCGCCTCGAGAGACCCTCTGCCAGCCCCAGCCTGGAGCCAGCAGTGACCCCTGGGGTACTCCGCGGGTGTCGGGCCTCCAACCGGACCGGCTCCAGCTGTTTGGTCAATTATCAGCCCAGCAGCCCTGGGAATATTTATTTTATGCTTGAAATCAATTGCTGTCAAGAAGAGAGGCTTCTGCTTTTCTCAAGCAGCCACAAGATGCAAAGATCATGAGCTCGCTGCGAGGGAGTCAGGCGGTGGGGGGGAGCTGCAGCAGGGTGGAATGTCACTCGCCAGGGACTTTTGGGAAAGGAGCTTCTGGGAAAAGGGAAACGAAAGTGAAAGGAGGAGAAATCAAACAGGGTTGGCCCAGGCACTCCGTGCAACCGCTTATTGCCACACGAGAGGGACGGCAAGGGTGCATCCTTGGGGGTGCCCTTGGGCAGCTGAACGTGGAGCGTCTCTGCTCTGCATCTGCTGCCTGTGCCAGGGAGGGGAGGTGAGGAGGGGGCAGAAGCGGCCCCATGCTGCTCGTGCCGTCCTGCCCGTGCGCGGAGGGCAGGGTCCCCCCCCCACCATCACACCCTGTAAGAAACTATGAACTAGGGTATTGTTTACTGAAATTTATGTTAAGCTCAATGTAAAGGTTAGGCAGCAAAAGACAAGAAACCGCTTATGCAAACAGCTGCCAGACACCGCTTGTGTGAGAGAAGATAACCGCAATTGCTTACACAAACCAGATACCGCTTGTGCAAGCAGAAGAGGTACTGCTCAAAGATAACCATGAATGTAAAAATGTATAAAAAGGGACTGTTTGAAATGATCAGTGCGGCAGTTGGCGGAGCGCAGACTCCCCTGCCGTCCAGCGCTGTCTTTGCTCATATTCTACTTCCTATAATTAATAAAATTATAATTGGATTATGATCCATTGTGGTCTCAATTTATAACACACCCTGCCCGGGATGTTGTGGTCACGGGCACCGGGGCAGGGCCTAATGCAAGTGATGGGGACACTGTCTGGGGTTCAGGGCTGGGGGGACACTGCCAGGCAGGGGGACACTGGTAGCGTGTCAGTGCCGGAGGGATGCTTCCAGACTGGGGCACACAGCCAGCAAGTTCGGGGTGGGGGGGCCCATCCAGAGAGGGGAAAATGGACAGGGCTGGAGGGACAGAGGGACCCGACATTCTTGCAGTTCCAGGACACCCCTCTCTTCATCTGTGTCCCTGTCCCCACCCCCAGCAGCCTGCCCCACACGGGGGTGACATTTCTCAGCTTCCCCCCGCTGGGGACCTTGCTGGGGGGGTGCCATCACCCGGGGACACCGGCGAGAGCCACAGGAGCCAGCAGAGCCCGGGGCAGGGACACCGTGCCTGGGGCACCCCCAGCGCACGGTGGGGGGTGCAGCGGTGGTCCCTGCGCATCCCCCCCCCCCCGCCACACTGTCTCCAAAACCCCGCCGTGTTCCCCCGAGTCCCTCCCCGGTCGTTGTGACCCGCAGCGGCGGTACCATGACCGCGTCCCCCTGTCCCCCCGTCCCCGTCCCCTCCCCAGGGACCCTGCCGAGCCCCCAGTCAGGTCCCACGCCCCCGCCGGGACGGCGGCCCAGGCCCGCGGTGGCGGCCACCCCCGGCCGTTGTCCCCTGTCCCCCCCACCGTCCCCACCTCTTGTAGTCGGAGGAGAAGATGCCGCCGCTGGCGGGGTCGTGGCCGTACTCGGGCTCCCCCAGGCTGGAGGAGCCCCCCTTCTCCTCCCCGTAGGCCGGGCCGGCCGCCATGGCGGCGGGATGCGGTCGGGATGCGGCCGGTTGGGATGCCGGGACTGATGTCAGCGTCATGCGGGGACGGGGACCGCCCTAACGCTCCCCACGCTCCCCACCCTGCGGGGACGCTCGGCTGCGGGGGGCATCGCCCAGGCGGCCCGAGCCCTCCCGGGAGTTGGGGGGGGGCACCCTCAGGAGGGGTCCCCCGCCCTGCAGCACCCCCCGCCCCGCCCAGGTTTGGGTGCCAGCCCGTGGAAGAATGGGTGTAAGTCAGGATTTCGGTAGCAGCAGTGCCTGAGACGTGATTGCGTGGTCTGTGTCACATAGCTCGTATATCACACATCATACCGGCCGCTACAGGTATAGAGATTTACATGATATTACATTGTAATACATGATGCGATATCAAGGCTTTTTATATTACATTGTCTCATATTATGTGACATTACGCTATTATTTCATACCTTGCTTGGCATACGTTATAGAAGTTATATGCTACAGGCTATATGGTCTGTACCATATATTAGGTTACGTAACACATGACATTGCATTATACAATATTACGGCTGACATCATTTTCATGATATTATAGAACCCATATTCTAACATACCAGGCTATACCTACTCCTTAATCCATAATCAAGAATCCATTCTGCATCCGATATCCTACGTTGTACGCTCTATGTTATGTTGCGTGTTAGACTACATTCTACTACATAACTACATTGCAGATAATATTAATTCCATTCTCTGTTCTTCATTCTATATTCAGTCATATTGTATTCTGTATTCTACATTAAATGTTATCTAGGATATAGTATATTAGCTGTGATGTATGATATATGACATATATGATATATCACGTGTTGTGCTGTAGAAAATGATATGATTTCTTCATATTATAGATGTTGTTGAAATGAAGCATGATATTGATAGTGGCATTCATATTTTTATTAAAATCTTAATTGATAATTATTGCGATATTCATCACCAGTAACCACTGGTTTTGGCAGATATTTTAGATGCATTGATTTTGACTTGCGTCTTGCAAGGCCGAGCGGCTGGTTGCGACTCGGGCAGCGCTCACGCGGCATCACGCAAGAGGGAGTCAGAGAGGGAAATCGGGCTCATTTCATGGTCGTCTCCAGTTGGGATCTCGACCTGCAAGAGAAAGCTGTCCATGCGCGGGGGGCTTGGCTGTCCCCACCGCTGTCCCCCCCCCCACCAGGGGCCAGCCCCAGGGGAACGGGGTCAGGATGGAAACGCGGGGCTGGCTGTGGGTGCAGCAGCCGTCCCACCGCGGCCGTCACCCCCCGCCCTGTGCTCACCAGTTGCTTGTAGAAATCCGCCAAGCCCAGGAGGTAGAGGGCAAAGTGGATGCAGTTGTTGGTGCTCCAGTGATATTTGGCTTCGCAGTTCATCACCTCCTTGACTCTACTATAGAAGTCATCGAGGTCGATCCTCTTTGTTGCCCGGTAAATCTCGCACTTCCCCTTCCTCTGCTTCATGGCTTGGAAGCCTTCCTTGCTGATCCAACCGCTGCTCTTCCAACCAGTCGTGCCTGGAAAACCCAGAGCCGCCCGTTGCCCCAGGCCAGGCACCGTGCCACCGGCCGCCTTTCGGCCACCGCCACGTCCCGAGCACGAGCAGGGCGTCGGGCACTTACTCTGGAAGTGTATGACCTCTCCGTCCCCGCAGCAGACGGCTGCGTGTTTGAAGAGAACGCTGACGCCAGCGCTGCTGTCCAAGGGGAAGAGCACGATGTCCCCGGGCTGCATCGTGCTCTCCGACACCTCCCTGAAGATCACCCCATGCTCGGGGGTTCTCTTGGACAGCAGAAAGCGGAGCGTCTCACCCTGTCTCTGCTAACCGTGCCGGAGAGGGAAGGTAAGGAGGGGGCAGAACTTCCCCCATGCCCCCCAGTCATACCCACAGCCCCCCCGGCTGCACCGGAGGTCTCGCCAAGCCCCTACTTACGCAGCTCTTCGACATCTGCAAGGAGCAAGGAAGAGAACCGTGGTGTCAGCGCGGTGCTCGTGCCGTCCCGCCCGTGCGCAGAGGGCAGGGTCCCCCCCCGCCATCACACCCTGCCCGCGCTGGCTCCTGCCAGGCTCAAGGACTTGGCTCGGGCAAAAGTCACCCGCCCTTCCCAGCTTCTCCGAGCGGGAGACGCCCCGGGACAGGCCCCGTTCCCCGATTTCCCCCCCGGCCCGGTGTGACGGCGGCGCGGGCAGCTGCCTGCAGAGGGGTGCGAAGGTGGGAGCGTCCTTACCAGGCTGGTTAGCAGTGATGTCCCCGGGACGGAGCCGGGGACAGAGCCGGGCTGCAGGCACCTCCACCACGGGCCGTGGGAAATGGAGCTGGGATGGGTCCTGCCAGGGCCAGCCCTGACCCCACATCCTTCCTGACGAATGTGGGAGGAGCAGCGAGGCTGAAAATAAAACCAAAAGCAGTACAGAGTCCAGGAAACCCCCGAATGTGTTTGTCCGCTTCATTAAGCCAATTCCAGTGGAAGTGTTGCGGTCTGGGACTGGGGGGAGGTGTTGCGGGAGATCCTGGAAAAGCTCTGGAGTCGGAGGAGCTGCAGGACATCTCCAAAAGTGCGAGTCGTGCCGCGATGTGCATCTCCACGAGGAAGCCACCATCCCCACCAACCCGGCACCCTCACAGGGTTGCCACTCTCCCCGCTGGGCTGGCATCCTCGTAGGGATACAGCCATCCCTGCCAACCCAGGCTCCTCACCGGGGTGCCGCTGTGCCCACCGATCCAGCATCCTCGCGGGGACGCAGCCACCATCTCCACCAAGCCGGCATCTCCCCAGAGATGCCACCACCCTGGTGAGTCAGGCCGGGCTTCCTCTCCCCAGCTGGTGGCCGGCAGCGTGGTGATGGCATTCGAGGAGGTCTGCCCCGAGCGCATCGACCTCATCCACAAGAACTACCGCAAGCTCTGCAACCTGCTCATCGATGTGGAGGAGTGGGGGCAGGTGGTCATCATCAACATGCTGACCCGCTACGCACGCACCCAGTTCCTCAGCCCCAACCAGAATGTGAGTGCGGGAGACTCGGGGTGCCCTGGAAGCCTCAGGGTGCCCTGGAAGCGAGCCCCCGGGGAGGTGGGGCGAAGGGGGGCTGCTGTTGGGGGGCTGCAAGGCGTCCCACCTGTCGGCAGGAGTCCTTGCTGGAGGAGAGCGCCGAGAAGGCTTTCTACGGCTCTGAGGAGGAGGATGCCAAGGACGCCAAGGCGGAGGCGGCCTCGTTGGCCAAGCGCAAGCCCTACGTCATGGACCCCGACCACCGCCTGCTCCTGCGCAACACCAAGCCCCTGCTGCAGAGCCGCAACGCCGCGGTGAGGCCCCTGCCCCAGCCCTGTCCAGCCCCGGAGGCCACCAGTGGTGCCCGTCAGACGGGGCTCGTGATGTCCCCGCTGGCCAAGGAGCCACCGGGGTGCTCGAGGGACTCCCAGGGCTTGGCGTCCCCAGGGATGGGCTTCCTCTAGGTGCTGCTGAGCGGGACGTGATGGGGGACACAGCCATCTCCCAGGCAGTTCCCATGCTCGCCGGGAGGTGACTGGGTGTCTCTCCGCAGGTGGGAACGGATGTGGCGCAGCTCTACTTCCACCTGACAGCCCGGACTCCTAGGAGGGCCTGTGACCTTGCGGAGAGGAGCTCGTGCTGGCTGCAGCACTTGGTGAAGAACTGCAGCCCGTGGAAGGGACCCACGCTGGAGAAGTTGGTGGAGGACTGTCTCCCGTGGGTGGGGCCCCACGCTGGAGCAGGGCAAGAGCGTGAAGCAGGAAGGAGCGTGTCGTGGTTTGAGCTCAGAGGGCAACTGAGCACCACGCAGCCACTCACTCCTTCTTTCCATCCAGCCCTGAGAAGGAGAAAGTGAGCTACGCTTGGGATTTGAGACAGGACATGGAGGGGAAACTCACCCCTTATGGTCTTGGGCAAAATGCAGACTCGTTAGGGGAAGAAAAAAGAGCAGAGATTTATTACAGAGGCAAACAACAACGCTTAACTGAGCAGGACAGTGAGAAGCATTGCCAGATGTTGAGAAGACCTTCCCCCCAGCCCTCCCTTCTTCCCGGGCTCAGCTCTGCTCCCGATATCTCTACCTCCTCCCCCAGGAGCGCAGGGGGCAAAGAATGGGGGGTGCAGTAAGTGGTGCCGCTACTTCCATCTTTGGTAGGGTGAGCTTCTGGAACTTCTTCCCCCTGCTGCAGCGTGGTCCCCCTCTCACAGGAGGCAATCCTCCACAAACTTTCTCCGACGGGATTCCCTCCCAGGGGCTGCAGCCCTTCCCGAGCTGCTCCCCGCATGCTGCAATCCTCCCAGATCCAAACTCCAATGGCAGGGGCCGCTTCTTCCGCCCAGGATCCCGGCCCCGCTCGGGCACAGACAACTTAACTGGGCATATGAGGCCCCTCACGGGCCATAAGTCACTCTCTGCTCCCTCACAGACGTCCATGGGTGGCAGGGGGGGCCGCCCCGCCGTCGCACCACAGGGTACAGGGGGGTCTCTGCTCCTGCACACCTCCCCCCTCCTTTCTACCTCCGTTCCTCCCCTGCCCTTGGTGCTCACGCAGCTGCCACACAACTCCTCCTCCCAAGCCCCACTCCTCCTCACCAGGTGCCTTCCTACATCCGTTATCGCAGAGAGGCAGCTGCTTGGCTCGGCCTCGGTGCAGAGGTGGAGCTGACTTGGAGCTGGGGGAGCTTCCAGAAGCTTCTCACAGGGGCCCACCAGTGCAACCCCCTCCCCCTCTACCAAAAAAGCCCACCGCTCACTGAAACCCAGGACAGAGCGGCAGAGACAGTGTGTGATGAACTGACCTCGGTGGCTCCGGGGGAGGAGGTGGAGCAATCGGGAGTGAAGTTGAGGCCGGGAAGGAGGGAGGGCTTGGAGAAGGGGTTTGGTGGTTTCTCCTTATTCCTCGTGATCCTAGTCGGATCTGTTTGGCAATAAATGAAATGAATTTCCCCGAGCCGAGTCTGTTTTGCCCGTGACAGTAATTGCTGGGGGACCTCCCTGTCCGTATCTGGGGAGCTGAGGAGGGGAATGGCAGAGCGGCTGGGTGGGTACCTGGCGTCAGGCCGAGGTCAACCCACCGCAACTCTCTCACGATGCGTGTTGTCAGATATATGACATACATCGGATTCATTATGTATTGCACTCTATCCTATTCTTTATCCTTCCTGCAGATCTTGCTGTTGTTCCTCTTCCTCTTCTTCGCAGGCAATCACTGATATTGGCAGTTATTTCAGTGATTTCTTTTCCTTTGTGGCTTGCCAGCCCCGAGCGGCCGGTTGCCAGTCAGGCAGCTCCCTCACCCCTCCCGGCAGGAATGAGGCAGTGAGGAAAAACGGGCATATTTCTGCAAGAAATCTTTACTCAAGCAGCAAAGCAGTGCATGGCAATGGAGCCCGCGGAAGCGGAAAGGCCGCGGCTCTCCCCAGAAAAGGTCCTTCCCAGGGGCGAAGGCGTCGGGGCGCAGGGGGTGACCCTGAGGCTGCTCTGTGGGTCGCGGGGGGCTCGTCCTCAGGGGGATGCAGCGGCCGCCACCCCTCAGACCACGAAGCTCCTCGCCTGCAGTGGTGGGGTGGGTGGGCTGCGGGTGGCCTGGAAAAGGGGGGGAGAGTCCCTGACGCAACGCCCTGCCCTCCTCTCCCCGTGCTTCTGGGTCCCCCAGCAGCGCTGGCAGTCGGAGCCCAGCCCTCCTGGGCACCCCAAAGCCTGATGGGGACCCCGGCCCCCATTGGAGACCCTAGCCCTCTTTGGGGACCCTGCCAGGCTCCCGGGCACCCCAGCTTTGTTTGGGCGCTCCGGCTGTCCCAGAGACACCAACCCTCTTGGGGACCCCACAAGCCTCTTGGGAACCGCATCCCTGCGGGGCAACCAGACCTCCTTGGGACCCCACAGCCCTCTGGGGGACTCCAGCCCCACGGGACCCGCAGCCCTCCTGGGGATTGTGCCCTCCCAGGACCCCACAGTCCTCCCAGTTGAGCCCATCCCTCTTTGGGGGCTCCAGGCCTACCGGGGGGGACTCAGCCCTCCCTCGGACCCCACAGCCCTGCCGGGGACGGCTGATGCTGGGGATACTCACGGCCCCACGGCCGTCTTCAGCTGGGATCTCGACCTGCAAGAGAAAGCTGTCCATGCGCGGGGGGCTTGGCTGTCCCCACCGCTGTCCCCCCCCCCCCCAGGGGCCAGCCCCAGGGGAACGGGGTCAGGATGGAAACGCGGGGCTGGCTGTGGGTGCAGGAGCCGTCCCACCGCGGCCGTCACCCCCCGCCCTGTGCTCACCAGTTCCTTGTAGAAATCCGCCAAGCCCAGGAGGTAGAGGGCAAAGTGGATGCAGTTGATCCGTCCCGAGTCATATTTGGCTTCGCAGTTCATCACCTCCTTGACTTTCCTTTTGAAGTCATCGAGGTCGATCTCGTTTGTTGCCCGGTAAATCTCGCATTTCCCCTTCCTCTGCTTCATGCCTTGGAAGCCTTCCTTGCTGATCCAACCTCTGTTCTTCCTGAGGCTGGTGCCTGGAAAACCCAGAGCCGCCCGTTGCCCCAGGCCAGGCACCGTGCCACCGGCCGCCTTTCGGCCACCGCCACGTCCCGAGCACGAGCAGGGGGTCGGGCACTTACTCTGGAAGTGTATGACCTCTCCGTCCCCGCAGCACACGGCTGCGTGTTTGAAACCCATGTAGCTGCCAGCGCTGCTGTCCAAGGGGAAGAGCACGATGTCCCCGGGCTGCATCGTGCTCTCCGACACCTCCCTGAAGATCACCCCATGCTCGGGGCTGCTCTTGGACAGCAGAAAGTGGAGCGTCTCAAAGTGTGTGTCCTAACCGTGCCGGGGAGGGAAGGTGAGCATTCGGCAGAACCTGCACCATCCACCCCAGTGCCCCCCAGCCCCCCGCTGCTGCCGGCGGAGGTCTCGCCACGCTCCTACTTACACAGCTGCTCAGCATCTGCAAGGAGCAAGGAAGAGAACCGTGGTGTCAGCGCGGTGCTCGTGCCGTCCCGCCCGTGCGCAGAGGGCAGGGTCCCCCCCCGCCATCACACCCTGCCCGCGCTGGCTCCTGCCAGGCTCAAGGGCTTGGCTCGGGCAAAAGTCACCCGCCCTTCCCAGCTTCTCCGAGCGGGAGACGCCCCGGGACAGGCCCCGTTCCCCGATTTCCCCCCCGGCCCGGTGTGACGGCGGCGCGGGCAGCTGCCTGCAGAGGGGTGCGAAGGTGGGAGCGTCCTTACCAGGCTGGTTAGCAGTGATGTCCCCGGGACGGAGCCGGGGACAGAGCCGGGCTGCAGGCACCTCCACCACGGGCCGTGGGAAATGGAGCTGGGATGGGTCCTGCCAGGGCCAGCCCTGACCCCACATCCTTCCTGACGAATGTGGGAGGAGCAGCGAGGCTGAAAATAAAACCAAAAAGCAGTACAGAGTCCAGGAAACCCCCAAATGTGTTTGTCCGCTTCATTAAGCCGGGGTTAATTTCCAAATTCCAGTGGAAGTGTTGCGGTCTGGGACCGGGGGGAGGTGTTGCGGTAGATCCTGGAAAAGCTCTGGAGTCGGAGGAGCTGCAGGACATCTCCAAAAGTGCGAGTCGTGCCGCGATGTGCCACCCGCCTCGAGAGACCCTCTGCCAGCCCCAGCCTGGAGCCAGCAGTGACCCCTGGGGTACTCCGCGGGTGTTGGGCCTGCAACCGGACCGGCTCCAGCTGTTTGGTCAATTATCAGCCCAGCAGCCCCGGGAATATTTATTTTATGCTTGAAATCAATTACTGGCAAGAAGAGAGGCTTCTGCTTTTCTCAAGCAGCCATAAGACGCGAGGGAGGCCGGTGGGGGCGGGGGCAGCTGCAGCAGGACATTGCTCACAGGTGACTTTTGGGAAAGGAGCTTCTGGGAAAAGGCAAATGGAAGTGAGAGGAGCAGAAGTCAAACAGAATTTGCATAGACACTCCTTACAACCATTTATTGTTGCACAAAGATGATGCCAAAGGCGCCGTCACACCACTTCCCCCCTTGGGAATGATGCTCCGGCCCTGGGCGTCCCGTGGGCACGTGGCCGCCTCCATCACTGCAGCGCTGGGGACACCTGGCAGAGAAGTTGGGCTGTGGTGCCTCTCGGCCGGAGTTGTCTGGGTCCCGTGGGGTGTCGGCACCCGCTCTGCTGGGGGCACCCACCATGGCCCCGGCGATCTGCCCCAGCCCCAGCAGGCCGAGGGCGAAGTGGACGCAGTTGCAGGTGACGGCGTCGTACTCCAGCGCCTGGTCCATGGCCGCCCGGATCCGGCGCTGCAGGGCGGCCGCATCCAGCCCTCCCTTCCTCCGCAGCACCTTGGCCTCTCCCCGCGTCCGCAGGAGGTGGCTCTTGCCGTGCTTGGCTACGATCCCCGCTGGGGACGTCCCTGAGCTGCCTGCCGGGCGGAGGGGGATGCTGTACCCCACGTCCCTCCCGTGGGGGACTCCCCCCACGCCTTAGCCGCCTCCTGGGACTCACCTTCCAGGTGGATGATCTCCCCGCCACCGCAGTAGATGCCGGCATGGGCGCCCCACCAGCCAGGGCCCCCTGAGGCCAGCGGGAAGAGGAAGAGATCGCCGGGCTGGGGCTCGGCCACCCCATTGGGGACCACGTCGAAGTGCTGGCCCAGCAGTCCCTCGCAGAGGAAGAACGCCGCGGTGCTCGCTGCCCCGGCCGCTGCCTGGGGACCCGTCCGTATTTCAGGGCCACCGGTGCCCTGGGGACACCGGCAGCGTCACCGAGCCCCTGGCTCATCCCCCGTGCCCGGTGGCTTGGGCACAGCCTGGGTCTGCATGGATGGGGAAACCCTCCAAGGAGGAGATGGCTTCTCTAGGTGCTGAGCACCCAATGGTGCTGAGGAACAGGCAGCGTGTGCTGGATTTAGCCCTGTTGGGGCTGGGGTGAGATGGGTGGTATGGGGTGAAGGGGGGACACTAGCACATACCTGCCTGGAGCTGCTCACCTGGAGGGACAAACGCCTGGCATCAGCGCTGGTGGCACTGGGCAGGTGGCACCCAGGGCGCCAGTGTCATGGCTCAGCCCTTGCCTGGGCTATTGCCATCCCCCTGCCCAAGCCACCGGCCAGGCTCCCTGTGCCGGCACCCCCAAACCTGCCGCACCCAAGAGCCCAGCCAGCGCCGGGGCTGGTGAAATGGCCCGTCCGGGGCTCGCAGAGCCTGCAACAGGTTGCTCACCTGTGGGGAGAGGGGGCAGAGCGAGCCTGGGAGCCAGCCTCTGCCAGCACCCACACCAGCTAACCCCCCCCCCCCCCCCCCCGCTGGCACCCACCTGGCTGGCACACAGCCCTGCTGGCACCCATCCCCTGGTGGGACCCATCTCCTGCTGGCACCCATCCCCTGCTTGCATCAATCCCTGCGAGCACCCACCACTGCTGGCAATCACCTCCCGTAGCACCCAGCCCCACCAGCACCCACCCTTGCCAGCACCCACCCTTGCCAGCACCCACCCTTGCTAGCATCCGTCCCCAGACCACAGCAGCCTCCCAGTACCCCCCCTCCCACCCTTCACCCCTAGACTCAGCACCGGGCAGGTCCCAGCCATGGGGTCCGTGGGTACTGGGTGCCACAGCAGTAGGGTGGGACCGCCTGGGTGTAGGTGCCCTTACTGCCGGCTCCCCCTTTACCTGGGTGAGGAAGTTCATCTGCAAGGAGAAAACATGATGTCCAGAGAGCTAGGGACACGGGGCCATGCCCAGCCCCACCTTGGGGACCTATCTGTGTCCCCAAACTGTTGTGGTGCCACGTTACCCCGTTGAAAGCCAAGCTGCAGCCTTGGGCACCGTGGAAGCCCTGGCGCTCGTGGTCTGCCCTGCTCCCTCACCTTGGGTACGTCTCTGAGGTCCCCTCGCTCCACTGGGGTCCCCAAGCCGCTGCTTCTCCAAATGTGGCTGTGGGACAGGATCTAAACCCACCCCAGCGAGCACCGCGGTGGATCTTGGCACCTGCACGTCCTCTGGTGCCTGGGAATGTGCCCGGACCACACCGACCGGCCCCGCCGTGGCACTGAGCCCGTTCCGCGGGGCCAGTCCCAGGGGGACAAACCCAACCTGGTGTGACATTTCATCAGCGAAGCCTTTGGGTGACCCCAAAGCAATCACAAAACGGCCCGGTGGCTGGTGCCAGAACACCTCTTGGTGCCAAAATGCCTCTTGCACTGAAGGTGGCCCAAGGGACATCCACCAGCCTGTCCCCAGCCCCGTGTTCCCGGGGCGGTGCACGCCTGGGGTCAGCTCCAGAGCTACATTAAACTTTAATCTTTGCACCTGGGGGTCAGCAAAGGCTTTGGCAGGGCTTGGGGTGGGTGATGTGGGAGCTGTCACCCTCTGTCATCAGGCAACCTCCACAGCATCATTTATCACGGAGCCTCCAATAAGCAAGAGCTAATTGGAGCTGAAATCGGAGCCTGGCCTGGAGGCGGCTCAAGGTGAGGCGGCCACATTAACCCTTCCCAGCCATGTTGCTCTTGTCTCCTCCTGCTCCCCACCATCCTCTCCTGGTCCCTCGTGTACACTCCAGATCTCACCACCCCCTTCTGGTCCCTAGCGTCCCCTCCTGGTCTCCACCATCCCTTCCTGGCCCTCCTCAGATGCTCCTGGGCTCCATCATCATCTCTTAGTCCTCATCATCCCTCTAGGTTCCCTTGGACCCTCTTTGTCACCTTTGTCCCCTCCCCACACCCATCGTCCCTTCCCAGTCCATATCCTCCTCTCCTGATATCCATCTTCCCCTCCTGGTCCTCATCATCCCATCCCAGTCCTCGTTATCCCCTCATGATCCCCACCCACCCCTATTGCATCCCACTGCCCGCTCCTGCTCCCCCTCACACCTTCCTGGTCTCCATCATCCCCCTGTGGTCCCTGTTATCTTGCCCTGATTCCATAATCCCCTCCTGGTCCCTGCTGTCACCTCCTGCTCTTCACCATGCATCACTGTCTCCTGGTCACCATAGAAACATCCAGGTTCCTATTGTCCTGTCCCAATCCTCATCATCCCCTCCCAGTCCTCATCACCTTCTCCTGGTCCCCATCATCCCGCCCTGATCCTTGTTGTCTTTTCCTGGTCCCTACCATCTCCTATTGGTCTCATTCATCCCCTCCTGGTCCCCAGTCATTCTGTCCTCATTCCCATCATCTCCTCATTCCTAATCATTCCATCCTGGTCTCCACCATCTCCTCCTGGTCCCCATTACCCACTCCCGATCCTTGTTGTCCCGACCTGGTCCAAATCATCTCCCCTTTGTCCCCATCAACTCCTCCTGGTCTCTATCATCCTCTCCTGGTCTCCAATGTTTTCTCCTGATTCTCATTGTCTCCTCTTGGTCCCCACCTCCCCACCATCACCACTTGGTCCCCGCTGTCTCCTCCTGGTACCCACCATCCCCTCCTTATCCTTGTTGTCCCCTCTTGGTTCCCACCATCTCTCCTTGGTCCCCATCGTCTGCTCCTTGACTGCACCATCATCTGTTGTCTCCTGATCTCCCTTCCTGGTCCCCACCATCCCCTCCTTGTCCCCACTGTCCCCTCCCGTTCCCCACCACCCCGCCTGCCAGGACAGCAGTGTCTCCCTGGGTCATCTGATGTCCCCAACTGAGCTGCCCCCCGGCCGGGACGCATCTGTCAGCTCCTCACGGCTGGTGGGATTAGGGCGGCTGGATCCTTGGGGCTGCTCCTGACCACAGGTTTCAAGCCCGTCACCAGCATCTTTGGGTAATTAGTAAATTAGTAATTAAACGCTCTCTGCCTGCTGGGGAGGGGAAGGGGGGCAGATCCCAAGGTTTTAGGCTTGGTAATCCTGTGGCATCTGCCCCGGCGTCTGTCACCGAGCCGAGTCACGACCCCACCGCGGGCTTTAACGTTTGCTCCTTCACCCCCGCCCCACCGCCCGCAGTCCCGGCATTGGGCCTGCTCGGGATGCGCCCCGAAAATGGGCCGGAGCGAGTCCCCTTGGGTGCCTGGGTTGGGTGCTCACGGGGTGCTCAGCACCAGGAGGGGATGGGGTGCTGCTCCATGCGGACCCCACCCTGGGGACAGCTCCCAGGTGGGCGTAGTGGAGAAACAAGGCGGGAAACCGTATTTTTGTAATTACTGTCTTTCCTGGGCATGCTGATGATTGGCCAGCAGCAGATGGTTGGCCCAGCTAATCCCCCTCCCAAATCCCTGCTCTGGAGCTGGTTTTTACCCGACGGTGAGGAGGGGACAGGCAAATTAGCCGACTTGGTGTGTATCGCCATGCTGGCCACTCCCCAGCATCCCCCGGCACCGGGCACCCAGGTCCCAGTGTCACCCACGGGTGGGCTGGCACCCTGGGGTGCGGGTGCTCCCAGCGCCCCCAGATCAGGCGCCAAAGGGGTTGTTTCCCCCAGGGGTGAAGCTCTGCTGAAGGGTCTGAAGGCACCTAAGCTGCAGGCAAGGGACGGCCAGGGCGAGGTGACAGCTTGCTCCTGCCGCATTAGCCCAGCGTCATAATTCTGCTGAGGGAGGAGGACGGCCGCTGCCGCAGATGGTGGCTGTCAGAGATCTGGGTCAGGGTGGGGGGCTGCTGTGGGGTGGGGGGCTGTGGGGTGGGATGGGGCACCCTGGGGGAGACGGGGGGTGTCCCCGGGGGGCGGGTGGTGCAATGCTGCGGGCAGGGGCGATGGAGCCGCGCTGCGGGCAGGCAGAACGGAGCCACGCAGCAGGCAAGATGCTGGAGGGGCGATCCCCTGTCCCCAGATCCCACTGGTGTCACCACCACCAACCCTCAGCGGGGACAACTCCGCCAGGGCCACAGACATCAGCAACACCCCCCGGGGCTGCAGGATGAGCCATCCACCCCCCTCCTCCCCCGGGGAGGGACACAAGGGGCTGGGGACCCCCTGTCACAGCCTGGCCCATCCCTGGGGACAGCTCAGGCCGGGTGACGGTGGCCACCCACCATCCCCCTGAGCCGGGCAAGGGGGGTTTAGTGGCTAAAGCCCTCAAATCCCAAATTGTGCTGCCCTGTCATGGCAAGGGTTTAGTGGCGGTTGCGTAACCCCGGGGGCCACCTGGCCCCCACCCGCTGCGGTGTCAGCAGCCCCAGCCCAACGTCCCCAGGGGCCCCCACGTCCCCCCTGGGACGGGAACATGAAGCATGGAGAGGCCCCACTGAGCATCTCCCCTCCCCTTGCCATCAGGGCTGGTAATTAATTACTTGGGGGCGGGGAAATTACCCCCCTTAATTATCATTTTTCGTTATTCCCCTCTAACCGCCTTAGCATAGGGTTTATGAGCTTATAGGACCCAGTGGGTCCCAAGGTGGGGGGATATATATGGGGGTCCCTACACCAAGCCCCATCTCCCACCCCTGCCACAATCTCAGCAATGCTGGGGGGGGTGTGTGTGTGTTACAGGCGGTGGCAGGGTGACACCCCCCACAGCGGCCTGCAGTGGCACGCACGGAGGCGGGGGGAGGCTTGGGTGTCACGGGGTTTAGGGTTACAGGGCTGGGGCTCAGCACCTTTTTAATTCTTCATCGCGTGGCTGATTGATCCCCCCCATCCCCCCCCGCGCCCCCCCCCCCCCCCCCCCCCCCCCCCCCCCCCCCCCCCCCCCCCCCCCCGGCCTTGCGCAGACACTAAAGATTAAGAGGGTGACAAAGAGGCGGCTGCTTACACAGCGCCCACCACTAAGCTGCCTTGAAGAGAGTAAGGCAAGAGCCCCGCTGCCTGCAGAGCTGCCGGAGCACCCACCACCTCACCAGACCCCGGGGCACCCACCGCGGTGGAACCGGAGGGAGGGGAGAGGGAGAGGTTGGGAACGTCGGGTACGGGATGGCTGCGTCACCGGCGGGGTCGGTGGTGAGCGCCGGGCTGGATGATAGCCCCACGGGTAAGAGTGGTGTTCTGCTTGAGTGGGTGCGACACGGCGGGACCGCGGTCGCCGGTGGGGTCTTTCTCTGGGATGGCTGGGTCCCCGTTGCGGTCATTCTCCAAGATGCTTGGGGGTCCTCGTTACGGTTCTTCTCTGGGATACGCTGGGTCCCCATCGTGGTCCACCTCCAAGATGCCTGGGGTCCCCCACTGTAGTTTTTCTCCAAGATGCCCAGGGTCCCCATCACAGTTCTCCAAGATGTCCGAGGTCCCCAACATGGCCTTCTCCTGGATGCCTTTGGTCCCCATCATGGTCCTTCTCCAAGACACTTGGGGGGTCCCTATCATGGTCCTTCTTCAAGATGCCCAGGGTCCCCATTACAGTCCTTCTCTAGAATGGCTGGGGTCCCCGTTGTGGTCCATCACCGAGACACCCAACATACCTATCTTGGTTCTTCCCTGGGATGTTAGGGGTCTCCATCATGGTCCTTCTCCTGGAAGCCCAGGGTCCCCACTGTGGTCCTTATCCATGATACCTGGGGTCCCCCTCGTGGTCCTTCTCTGGGATGCTTGGGGTCCTCAGCTATCATCCTTCTCCAAGATGCTGGGGGTCCCCATCGTGGTCCTTCTCTGGACTGGGATGGCTGTAGTCCCCAACCCTCTCCTGGATGCCTTTGGTCCCCGGCCCCTCTCCAGGGTCTCTGCGCTGCCCTGCTGTGACCCTTCTCTGGGATGCCCACGGCCCCTTGCTGGGATGCCCTGTGTCCCCAGCCATGGCCCTTCTACAGGACACCTGAGGTCGCTGGTTGTGGCTTTGTGCTGGGATGCCCAGAGTCCCTTCACTTAGATGCCTGGTGTCCCCATCCCTAGGCACACCATTTCATTCCCCCCCTTTTTTTTTTTAAAGTCCTGTGAGAGCTCAGCCTGCCGCATTCTGGGTGCTGAAGCATGGGGAGATGCTGAACCCCATGTGCGATCCCTGGAGTCCCTGAGGTGTCCCCACTCATGTCCCTGGGCTGGACCAGTGGAGGTGGGAGCCATCCCGTCACCAGGATGCTGGGGGGCATCGGGGACTGGCAGGAGGGTTGAGGGAACTGGGGGTGTCCCGCGTCACCCTGAATGTGATGACCCCACTCTTGCAGGGCTGAGCCCAGCCCCTGGCAAGGCGCTGAGCCCCGTGCTGCTGTGCAAGGTGTGCGGGGACACCAGCAGCGGGAAGCACTACGGCATCTACGCCTGCAACGGCTGCAGCGGCTTCTTCAAGCGCAGCGTCCGCAGGAAGCTCATCTACAGGTGGGGATGGGGGGGTGGTGGAGGTCGCCTGGGGGCAGGGAGTTGGGGGGACGGGCAGCCAGCAGGGCAGAGACCTTGGGGATGGACACCCAGTGGTGCAGGGAGTGGGGGGACTGGGAGTCAGTGGGGCAGGGACCTTGGGGATGGGCATCCAGAGGGTCAGGGACTAGGGGCACAGGTACCCCTAGTGGTGTGGGGTCCCACAGGATGGACACCCAGCAGGGCAAGGACCCAGGGGATGGGCACCCAGTGGGACAGGGACACAGCAGGACAGGGACGAGGGAGACAGGCACCCAATGGTGGAGGTACCAGGGGGACATGAGTCCAGTGGGCAAGGGACCCAGGGGATGGGCACCCAGAGGGGCAAGGACCAGGTGGAAAAGACACCCAGTGGGACAGGGACCGGGGGACAGGCACCCAGCAGGACAGGGACCCCAGGGGAGTAGACACCCAGCGGGACAGGGATCTTGGAGATGGACATCCAATAGGGCAGGGACTAGAGGGAGACAGGGGGACCCCACGGGATGGACACCCAGCAGGGCAGGGACCCCAGGGCATGGGCAGTGAGTGGGGCAGGGACCCAGTGGGACTTGAACCCAGCAGGGCAGGGACCAGGGGAAAGGCACCCGCTGGGGCAGGGACCTGGGGGGGGTCCAGGGCACCCTCATGGGGCCAGGACAGCCATCGAGGCAGGGTATTCACTGGGACAGGGCACCCGCTGGGGTCTGGGTGCCCATCGGGGTGGGGGACCCGCTGAGGGGGGGGACGAGACAGCCAAAAGGAACAAAGCACCCCCAGGACGTGGCACTCATGGGGGTGGGACACCCCTTGGGGACAGGATCGGGGACAGGGGCCACCCCAGGGGCTGCAGCCGGGTGCCACCTCTCCCCCATAGGTGCCAGGCGGGGACAGGGCTGTGCCCAGTGGACAAGGCGCACCGCAACCAGTGCCAGGCCTGCCGGCTCAAGAAGTGCCTGCAAGCCGGCATGAACAAGGACGGTGAGAGGGGTCGGGGGGGGGGGGACACACACGGTGACGGGTGGTGGGAGGTGACAGCGGGGTGGCCGGCGCTGATGTCACTTTGTCCCCGCAGCCGTGCAGAACGAACGCCAACCCCGCAGCACGGCCCAGGTCCGGCTGGACAGCATCGAGCTGGACACCGAGCTGGCCCCGGAACACGTGGCCACCACCCGGGAGGTTCCCCCCACCCCCTGCCCAGCTCCCCGTGGCCCCGGTGCCACCGTCGCCGTCACCCCGGGTCCCCGAGCGCCCACGCCGCCCACCAACCATCGCTTCATGGCCAGCCTGATGACGGCTGAGACCTGTGCCAAGCTGGAGCCCGAGGACGGTGAGTGGCCCTTGGTGGGGAGGAGATGGGCAGGGGGGCTGTCCCCACGGTGGGGTGAACCACCGAGTGTCCCCTTTCTGTCCCTGCAGCCGATGAGACGGTGGACGTGACGGGCAGCGAGCCAGAGCGGGTGGCCGGCGAGTACCAGGTGGCACCCTACCCGGTGGCCAGCCCTGAAAACGTCTACGAGACCTCGGCGCGTCTCCTCTTCATGGCCGTGAAATGGGCCAAAAACCTGCCCGTCTTCTCCAACCTGCCCTTCCGCGACCAGGTGGGGTTGGGGACACCCATGGGGCATCGGGGACCCCCTTAGAGGGCAACAGGGACCCCAAAGGCAACCAGTGGGAGGGGCACGGCTGGAACATCCCCACAACATTCACTGCAGGGTCTTGGGGTCCCCACCCCCAGGTGATGTTAAACGGCCCAACCAACCCCGGTGGCTGCAGGTGGCTTCGGGGGCGACGAGGGTTTTGGGGCTCTTTCCCCGCCTCTCCTCAGGTGATCCTGCTGGAGGAAGCGTGGAGCGAGCTCTTCCTGCTCTGTGCCATCCAGTGGTCCATGCCCCTGGAGAGCTGCCCGCTGCTGGCTGTCCCCGAGCCAGCCCCCGGCAAGCTGCTGCCGGCCGCCCTGGACGTCCGGGTGCTGCAGGAGACCCTTGGCCGCTTCAAGGCGTTGGCCGTCGACCCCACCGAATTCGCCTGCATGAAGGCCGTGGTGCTCTTCAAACCAGGTGAGGGGGCCCCACCAGCACCTGGCCCACCCCCGTGTCCCCACCCCGCCCTGTCACCCACCCTTGTCCCCCGCAGAGACCCGCGGCCTGAAGGACCCCGAGCAGGTGGAGAACTTGCAGGATCAGTCACAAGTGATGCTGGGCCAGCACAACCGTTCTCACTACCCCGGGCAACCCGTCAGGTACCGCTGTCCCCACATCCCCATGGGGGGTGACACCAGGGTGGGGACACCCAGCCATGGCCACCACTCTGCCCCCCCCCCCCCCCAGGTTTGGGAAGCTGCTGCTGCTCCTCCCGGCGCTGCGCTTCATCTCCTCCGAGCGCGTGGAGCTGCTCTTCTTCCGCCGGACCATCGGCAACACCCCCATGGAGAAGCTGCTGTGCGACATGTTCAAGAACTGAACCCCCCTGCCCCGATGTCACCTGGCTTGTTTGGCACCTTGCATTGGCACCTTGTCACCCCCCCACCCCCCCCACCCCCCCCCCAGCTCTCCTAGCCCCGGGATGCTGCAGGGTGTGAAGGTGCCCACGGTCCCGTCTCCAGGGTGGTGGCCGGGACTATGGGACGCTGCTGGCAGCTGGGACACGGGACCAGCTTCACTGGGGACACTGGTGGCAGGGGGATGTCCCCACGCGAGTGCCAGACGCACCTTATTGGGGTGGGTGCCTCAATCCCAAACAGTGGAGGAACCCACGGACCCAGGCAAGGGGCCCCGGCACCCGTGGGGGACCCACTGCCACCCAGGGGTGACACCAGCCTGGGGGGTGACACTGGCCACAGGGGCTTTGGCCACCCTGGGGTTGACACTGGCCCAGGGGTGATGCTGCCAGCCTGGGGGTGACATTGGCTGGAAGGGTGACACTGGCCTGGGGTGGGGGGGGGGGGGGTGTGACGCCATCCTGGGGCTGGGGGCCCCCCGCAGCCGCAATCACTGCCCCTCACTCGCAGGCCCTGCCCCCCCCCCCCCCCCCATGACTTCAGCTCCGTGATCCCGGGGGACGCGCAGTGACAGACCCTTGTCCCCGGGTCCCGAGGGGCTCCCGCTCTCCCCCCACCCTCCGGCCCCCCAGTTTTATACTCCAAATAAAGAGGGCTTTTGCAGCCAGCCTCCTCACGGCGCTGACTCGGGGTCCCCATCCTTGGATGGGGGGGGGGGCAGCAGGGGGGCAGCAGCTGAATATTAATAATCTGAATATAAACAAATAAGATAAATAATCTGAATATAAATAATCGAAATAAATTGAAAATAAATTATCTGAATAGAAGTAAATTGAAATTAAATGATCCGAATAGAAATAGCATAAATATAAGTAAAATGAATATAATCGGAATGAAATAAAATTAATAGAAATAATGTGAATATAAATAAAATGAAAATAATCTGAATAGAAATAAATTGAAAATAAATTATCTAAATATAAATTATCTGAGTTAATAGAAATAATCTGAACATAATCTGAATATAAATAAAATGAAAATAGATAATCTGAATATAAATAGATTGAAAAGAATCTGAATAGAAATAATCTGAATAGAAGTAATCTGTAGATAAATAAAATGAATTAAATAATCTGAATGAAATGATCTGCACAGCAGTGAGCTGGAAGCACGGCCTCACGACCCCAGGGAGCCCCCGTTACCCCCCCCCCCCCCAGCATCAAACACAGCACCCAGCGCCAGGCGCTCCTCGTTACAGCTCTTTAATTAGCGGGGGGTCGGGGGGGTTGCCAAGCCGCTTTGTACAGCCATGGGGAAGGTCTGAGGAAAAAGCCACAACTTGCACTTTATACACACCACGGTCTGATGGCAGAAATAAAAACACCCCCCCAAACCCCTGCGAACCTGGCAGTAATTTGGGGGGGTTGACAAGCGGCAGCGTCCCCCGGCTGCGGGGCACCAGAAATTCTTCGCCTTTGTAGAATTACACTTTTATTTCTCTTTTTTTTTTTTTTTTTTTTTTTTTTTTTCTCCTTTTTTAAACAATTTCTAGCGCGGCTGACACAGGATAATATATCCTTTTACAATACAGACTTTGTTTTTAATTTACACGCAGCAGACTTATAAATTACTTAAAAAAATTTCCATTAAAAACAATAATAATTAACAGCACGCAGCCCCTCTCCTTTCCAGTAGTAAGTACATTCATGCCGCTCCAGAAACCCCCTTGTTTTGCCCCAAAATGGGGCCCTTTGCCCGAGGGGGGGCCGGGGGACGCGCCAGCTGGGGGGCCTGGACCACCCCGACCCCCTGATCCCCGGGGGCCCAGCGCTGACGGCTACCTTACCTCCTGCCTGCATCTTACACATATATATGTATATATTTCTTTTGTATATTTTTTCTTTATATATATACACACACAAATATATTATATATATAAAGAAATATATTTCTGTATATATTCTATATATATTGTATACATTTATATATAGAGAGAAAATATATAAACATATATTCTTTATATATGAACTATATATTTCTTTATACAGAGAGAAATATACTCTCTATATAAAGAAATAGACACCTATATATTTCTTTATACATATAGAAGAAATACATTAAAATATATATAAAGATATTCTTTATATATAGTATATATTTATTTTATATATATTTCTTCATATAGAAATATATAAAGAAATATATATTCTTTATACATGGTGTATTTCTTATATATGACTTTATATATATAAAGATATAAAGGAATATGTATTCTTTATATACAGTATATATCTCATATACATTTCTTTATATATACAAATATATAAAGAAATATGTATTTTTATATATAGTATATATAATCTCATATATATTTCTTTATATATAAAAATACATGTTATATATAAAAGAAATATGAAATATATAAAGAAACATGTATTCTTTATATATTTTTATTTATACAGAGAATATATTCTTTTTTATATATTTTCTTTATATATAGAATATATATTCTTTTAAATATATTTTCTTTGTATATATAAAATATATATATATATAAGGGAAATATATATCTCTCAAGAGAAATACACATATATATATATTTGGAGGCGCTGCCTAAGCCGGATCCACCCTCCCCGCTGCTCTCATGCCGCAAGGGTGAGAAAGCAGAGGATGAGGATGAGGAGGGTGCCCTTCCACCCCCCCCCCCCCCCCAAGCCCGGCCACTCTGAGGGCAATTCCTGGTGTTTTAGCTAAAGAGGCTCGAAAATGGCTGGTTTTGGCGTGGAGCGCCAGGGCTGCTCCTGCTCATTTCCAGCTCCGGGGAGGTTTCGGGCGGCTGCCCAGGAGCTTTCACCTCCGTGGCCACCACCCGCCTTCCCAGCGCATCCCGGGCCCGTCCCAAAATCCCGGTTTTCCCCCGGGGGACGGTGAAATCCCGCTGTACCCCGTGGGTGGGGGGTGACTGACTCGGGCCGGCTCCGCTCCCGGGACGCGGCACCACGGCGGATGCTGCTCCTGCGCCCCTGCTCTCCCTGCGGCACCTATCGCCTTCCCCCGTTGGAAAAAAAAAAAAAAAAAGAAGTTTAAGAAAAACAATAAAAAATTTAAAACCATAAAATAAAATAAAAATAAACCCCCTAAATAAATAAACCATCCCCTGAAAGAAACGGCCTTTTGGGCAGGGGGAGAGGGGTCCAAAGGGCGGCTCGGCTAAACCCAGGGATGCTCAGGAAAACACAAAATGCTTCGGAAAACTCATTTTTTTCCAGTATTTCCCGCCTTTTTGGTGGTGTTTTGGAAGAGGATGAGGCTCAACCTGCAACGCCCAACCCATCTGAAAGGACGGATCCAGCCCTTATTAATCTAATTAGCGCCCCAGGGCTCCTAATTTCACCTTTCCAGAGGTTTTCCAGTACCCAGAGCTTCTCCGGGTGCCACCGAGGGTGAGGGTGACGATGACACAGGAGGGATTAAGAGCCGAGTCGTTAGCGAGTGTTGCTAATTAGTCCTATCATGGGCACTGCTTTGAAATCATGCTGATTACACCTCCAGGGATTTCTTGTTCAAAATAAAACTCAACGTATAGAGCAAGGTGGTAGCGGCAAGTGATGGATGGTGACACCAGTGGTGACACCAGCAGGACGGCTCAGCCCATTGCTTCCCTCCTCCCCGGCCAAAAAATAATAATAATTAAAAAAAAAACCAACCCAACGTTCTGTCTGGGGAAAAATATTAAAAAAAAAAAATATATATATATATATTTACAACAAACTCCAGTAACCGGCATATAAACAAATATAGCTTCAAGTAGTCCTTGATTATTATTATTATTTTTTAATACTGATGGTCTTCAAAAAAAAAAAAAAAAAAGTGGAAAGGTGGTTAGGTCATGTTAAAAAAAAAAAAAAAAAAAAGGTGATTTTTGGCAGATTTTAACGCTTTTCCATGCGCTTGGCGTTGGCGTGGATGAGGTGGTTAAAGCGTGGAGGGCTTGGCTGGCTGGAGCTCAGGGGGCTCCCGCGGGGATTTTTTTTAGGCTTGGTTTTCTCCTACTGACGGGCGACGGCGATTCGGCACGAGGATTTGGCGGCGCGATGCTCCAAGATGGGGGGATGCCCCGAGGGGAAGGGCGCAGGAGCTGGCCAGTGCCCCTCCGTCCCTGGTCCAACCCCCCCCAACACCCCCCCCCCCCAAAACCATTAAGGCCACCGTTAAAACTGTCCCCCCACCGGCCTTTTTAATTAAGAATTCACCCTCCTGGCGCTAACGAGGAAGCCGTGGGGAGCGCGCTCTGGCGTGCGACGCCTCCCCGGGGTGGAGCATCTCAGACCATGAACTCGTTGCTCCCCAGGAGGACAAGGGGTTGGGCGGTGGTGCAGTCGGCCTCGGGGTTCCGCTTGCGTCCCCCCCCCGCCCCCCCGTCGGGGGGCTCTTTGGTTTTCGGGGGGGAAGTTTTCACGCTCTTCAGTTTCTGTTTGCCTTTCTCCGGGTTGAACGTCCCGCGGGTGGTGAATTGAGGCCGGTCCTCAGGATAGCGGAGGGGTCCCACGAAGCCCTCGGGGCTCGCCCGGGTTTCGGGGGGCTCCCCAGGCCCCCCTGCTCGGTAGAAAGGCGATTTGGAGTACATCTGGAAGCGTTTCCGGGGCAGGTGGGGCAAGCAGGAGGTGGACGATTGGGAGGAAGAGGAGGAGGAGACGGAGGCGTCGGCTGGGTCCACCGGGTCTGGCCGCGCCCTGGGGTGCCTTCGCAGCCGGCTCAGCCCCTCCGCCTTGGCGGGGCGCAGAGAGGTAAGTGCTACGCTTCTCTCTAGGAGGGGGGGGAAGGACCACCGGGGGATTAACACCCCGAAAACCACCCGGCACCTCGGTGCCGCTCCCCGGGGACGCACGGCGGCGAGCCAGGCCGTTCCCGGCACCTCACTGGAGGTAGCGCCACCCGGGATGACACAGTGGCACCGGAGGAGCGCTCACCTCCCCCTCAAACCTTGGGTGCTACCACCCACCTCCCCACGTCCACGTGTTTTAACCCTTAACCCCCCCCCTCTTTACACCCATTTAAATTGCCATACATCAAGAGCAGGGAGGAAAAAACAAATAGACCCCCCCCAAGCTATTGAAAAAACTTGAGCAATCCAATCGAGTTGAAAGCGTCCCTGCTCATTGCAAGGGGGTAGGACTGGATGATCTTTGAAAGTCCCTTGCAACCCAAACCGTTCTATGATAAGCCCCAAAACACCTGGATTTACCCGAGCGATCGGAGACGGCTCCTTCGGAGTCAAAGTTCAAATTTTCAGAGCTGTCGGCAGTGCCGATGGAGGCTTCGGACTCGAGGGTTTCGTCGTCGGAGGCACGAGGCTCCAGTGTCAGCATCTCGAACGTCAGCTCCTCCCTGCCAAAACCCAACCCAGTGCCATCGACCCAACGGGACCAGAAAGGTGGGGAGAAGGAAGGGACGCAAGAGATCATGGAGGGATGGAGTCCTCCAAGCCACTCTGAGCAGCACGCCAACCGTACGATGTCAAGCAACATCCACAGGCAGCCTGTAGCTAGGGGACGTGGCTTGAACCCTCGGCCAGACTTACTTTTCCTTCTGCAGGCTCTCGATCTGCTCAGTCAGCACCTTCTCCTCCTGCTGCATGGCCACTTGCTGCTGCTCCGTTACCTC